ATTATCCCACACATTTAGACCATATAAGCATTTATAAACCTACCTGAATATACACCTTATAATCCTACACGTTTATATTATAGAAGCATGTATCAAACTACCTGAATATACCCCTTATAATCCCACATATTTAGACCATATAAGCATTTATCAACCTACCTGAATATCCCCCTTATGATCCCACACATTTAGACCATATAAGCATTTTTAAACCTACCTGAATATACCCCTTATAATCCCACACATTTAGACCATATAAGCATTTATCAGCATACCTGAATATACCCCTTATAATCCCACACATTTAGACCATGTAAGCATTTATCAACCTACCTGAATATACCCCTTACAATCCCACATCACCGGAACCTGCTGAAGCCTAGACATACACATGCTATCGTATGCCGGGTACTGCCCAGTCCTGAGGCAGCTCGAAAGTTGGATCAAACCTAGGAACACGAACAACACGACCTGTTCTATCCGGTTAACCCTCTTCCTATGTGTTGGGAAGGAAAATGTTATCATGGTGTCTTTCAGGCAAAGAAATTCCAAAAACGTCGTCAGATAAGAATGAAGGTAAATCCTTTTCTCCGTAAGATTCGTTCCTACTCCATAAACGTTATTCGGAGAAATTTTCTCGTATTTTTTTCTCTCCGAAAACTTGTTTGAGAAATCACTCACATTTTCGAAATCGCAGTTTTTAAATTTCTCCGATGTTCTGTTTTCAGTACTAAATTTGTCCACTTTTACAAGTAAGTTTTCCGAAACAATATTTGTAGATAGCGAGTCATCTAAGAAAATTGCGTTGCTCTCTCTTCTAACTTGATTAAAATCTTGTGAAGATGTACATTGGGTTTTATCAAAGTGTAGCTCAATGTCATGAAAGACATTAGTGGACATCGATTTCCCAATTAAGGCGTCGTTCAGATCATCATCTCTCGTAATTAGATCCATCTGTTTGGGCAGGGACGGGCAGACTGGACTGACCTGGGGTTCACACATGATGCAGCTGCACCCGGCTCCCCGCATACATTATAGACACTCGGCTGTCACGGATGTCACCTGGCCGGGCGGTTTACCGGCGTGTCGGTGACGTCATCAGATCACTCAGAGGGTCAACCTGGGGAAGTACGGTACAGAAGCGATAGTTCTTTGAGGAAATCAGAGACAGAGAGAGAAAGAGAGAGAGAGAGAGAGAGAGAGCGAGAGAGATGGAGAGACAGAGAGAGAAGATCGTATTTTGAGGGGGGGGGGTTGATGAAACACATTTTAATGAGTCTTGAATATTTGTCTTCACTTTTCGAGACGCTTCTTACTATTATGTATGGTAATGATTATCTTAATTTTGATTAATATTATGATTACTTTATGATTATTATTATTGTTGTTATTATTATTATTAATATTATAATAATAATAATAATAATAATAATAATTATTATTATTATTATTACTTTTTATCATTGTTATTATTATTATTATTATTATTATTATTATTATGTTATTTTTACTATTATAACTATTACACAGTCTACTCATTTTACGTGCATTGAAATAATATCTAGATGCATATCATATTTTTTCTCTATCCTAATAACAAATTTATTACTTATTTTTTCAATTATCAGGCCCATAATGAGCACATTCCAGCTAGTATAAAATTGACTTATTTTCCAGCCCCTACGAAAAATGACTTTTTCCATCCCTTTACAAAAAGACCTTCGTCTCCAGTCACTACAAAACGACCAGCTTCCAACTAGTATAAAAATGACCTGTTCTAGCTCCTTCAAAAATGACCTACGTCTCCATCCCCTATAAAAATGACGTACCTCTCCAGCCCCTACAAAAATGACCTGTTCCCAGCCCCAACGAAAAATGACCTACGTCTCCAGCCCCTACAAACATGACCTACGTCTCCAGCCCCTACAAAAATGACCTGTTCCCAGCCCCTACAAAAATGACCTGTTCTCAGCCCCTACAAAAATGACCTGTTCTCAGCCCCTACAAAAACGACCTGTTCCCAGCCCCTACAAAAACGACCTGTTCCCAGCCCCTACAAAAATGACCTGTTCCCAGCCCCTACAAAAACGACCTGTTCCCAGCCTCTACAAAAATGACCTGTTCCCAGCCCCTACGAAAAATGACCCACGTCTCCAGGCCTACAAAAAACAGCTGTAGCCGAGACAGATCTGACCCTAAACTGGCCTGGGAAACGAGCAGGCATGCGACGGTGACCCTGCACGTCGGAACCTGCAACAGACTGGGTCAGGGTCGTAAATAACCCTGACATGTGGCAGCGAGCGACGGGGTGGGCTGGGGCGGTTGGACTTGACGCCGGGCGCCGCCCAACATACTTACGTCACCGCGTGAAGTTAAATGAAACCATTAGTTACGCGGACAAGATACGGAGAGAAGTGCACTAAAGTAAAGTGTTATATACTAAAAAAAATTTTGGTCGAATTTTGTATTTCAAATATTAACATAATTGCTTTGTAACTCGCTTTGTTATACAGACAAGATACGGAGCGAAGTGCACTAAAGTAAAGTGTTACTTATTAAAAAAAAATTTTTTGGGTCAAATATTGTATTTCAAATATTTACATAATTGTTTTGTAACTCTTTTTGTTACACATACAAGACACGGAGTAAAGTGTTATATATTTTTAAAAAATGTGTTTTGTCAAATATTGTATTTCTAAATATTCAAATATTGTTTTGTAACTTGTTTTGTTTTGTTATACAGACAAGATAAGTAGTGAAGTGCATTAAAGTAAAGTGTTACTACAAATTAAAATATTGTTGCCAAATATACTATTTCAAATATCACCATTATTGTTTTTTTTTTTAACTCGAGTTAAGATCTAAAAAAAATGATCTAGAGACTGGTTGCTATGGTAAAAGTAAATTACTTTTAAATGTTCGGTCAATTTGAAAAAGGCAAAACTTAGACTGCCCATTGTCAAGCAATGTATTAACAACATTTTCTGTAATCCAATTTGAAAAATAAAAACAAGAATTAATTTTTGAAGAGACTATTTACCATGTTAAAAGTAGATTACATTTAAAAATAAGTAGTTGAAAGAGTCAAAATTTATACGATTTATATAAGCTGCCTATTTTAAATTTATATTCCATATCGATCACATGTATTGAACTGGTTAATACAACATGTTTTAAAGAAAACACTTGTTTGTAATTAATGCTAATTTACAAAGTATAAATGAATATTTTCTAGAATATTTCAACTGTCTAAATTAATAAATCCACTTAAAGCATCTTAAATTGAGTTAAGCTCATAAACTATTTTGCAAATAAAAGCTTAAAATAAGTGAAAGCTAAACCGTGATTTCAAATTAATAAATATAACACTTTAATTACACAAGGGGCGGAGTGGTCGAACGGTAGAGCGGTCGACTGCTAACCCTTCGGCTTCCCAGAGTCGACCTAGCACTAATGGGTACCTGACTGGGGTTAGTTAAAACAAAGGCGGCTGGGCATATTGCTGACCACACTATCCCTAACTATGTCGAGGTCAGTGAAACAGATACAGTTCTACTTCACCTGCAACCTAGACAGTAAAGTTCAAAAGGGTTACTACACTATATTGGCCAGCTTACTTTTCAATTCGGAACATAGACTATAGGCATATAACATAATGTAGAAGTAAGTAATGGAACTGAATCAGTGGCGTAGCGAGGTCGGGTGTCACCCGGTAGGCACTTAATGGTGTCACCCCCCCCGCCCCCCCCCCCCAGAGGCGTAGCGACCTTTCCCGGCGCCCGGGGACAAACTTGCAATTTACGATTTCAGATTTGCACCCCACCCCCTTCAAACTTTCGATTTGCACCCCCCCCCCCCCTCCACCGTTGTCGAGATTTATCAAATTTGCTCTTAAAACACTTTTTAACACTCGAATTAATCACTTAATTAAGTGTAATTATCATTTTTCTCTATATATTTAGCTATTTTTTGCCTTTGTGTAACCCCCCTGAATGGTGTCACCCGGTGCGTTCCGCACCCCCCGTAACCCCCCCCCCCCCCCCCTCGCTACGCCACTAAACTGAATGATTGTGTATCAATACCAAATTAAATAGAACGCGAGTCACCGGTTTGGTTTATTTTGTTCTTAACGTTTATTTTGTTCTAAAACGATCCAAAATAGCCTCTCCTTATAGCATTTTATACAATGATGAGACTAAAATAATCATCACCTCATTTACACATACTTTTGGAAGCAAGTTTACATTTCTTATGAGAGTATGAATTGTCCGCAATGGTAGAAAAAGCAACTCTATTTTTCGTCTGTTAGTTATACAAAATGCTGTATGATTTATAAGCAGCTACGGTAAACAGAAAATGTTCGTGTAGACAACGGACAGAAAATACATTTTAACTTTCAGGCAACTTTCCGCTAGTTCATTAATAATGATGTCAAATAATTGAGTAATATTCAAAATAAGCTGTTAAAATCGGAGTAATACCATAAACAAACTATAAAAATAGTTTTTTATAAATTATATTCTAAATTTTAAGATATTAAAATGTTAGTTATCATTACAAAAATCGATATTAACATTAACAGTAGTAGTTCACATAAAGTTCTTTAACAGCAGAAAATTAATTTGATTCTATTATTTGCGTCAAATTTTAAATTACAAATTTACAACAGCTTTGATATAACATTATGTGGAACATTCAGCAACTAACAAATGGATATTTTATTATTAAGCTTTTAAAATTTTATGTTCTGTATTGTTTTTATACTATTAAGTTAAAATATCCAAGAGGAGTAGAATGTAAACACAAACAAAATTATTAAAGTATAAAAGTAAATGGTGCATTACCTTCTAATTTCTGTCTTGTTTTTTTCTTTTCACTAGCACGTTTTTAAGCCTATAAGATAAGCTCTCGTCACACCTTCGATGAAAATGTTAGATTAACTCCCCTATGTTAGATTAACTCCCCTCCATCTACTGTAAATTCCCGTTATTTAAACAAAGAGAAATAAAAAAAAAAAAACGCGTCCTACCGAACACAGTACGCAGAATCGTGGTGGAGCATGCGCAGTTCGCGGTGAAGTTTTTTTTTTTAATGACACCCCCCCCCCCCCCACCTCTCCTGACGTCAGGTGAGGTTAAAACGTTTTAACGGAAGTCAGTCTTCAGATCCTCAGAAAAATTAATTAGTCTACGCGGCTTATTACATAAGATTTAACGAGCACTCTTTTCATATTATGCTAATGATATGCAAATAAGTGGTTACCTTCATTACATGGGGTCTCAGTGGTTACAATTTCTTTGTTTTATAATTAGTTAGAAAACATTTAGATCAACACACGGTACGACAAAATGATTAATTATTAATTAATTAATGAAGGGGCGGTTTAGGGGGGTAAGAGATCGTGCAGGTGCTAACTCCAGAAGACCAGAGTTCGGACCCCGGGCAGATGAGGCTCGCTAGAAGGGCACAGTAACCCATCAAAGGGAGGCAACTCAAAATTCTTAATTGGACTAAAGACTATGGAAGCAAATCCAGAAAGAAAAGCAGGCTGAAATTAGAGTCATCTTGCTATCTGGCACATACTGTGTTTACATGTATTACTTAATTTTGTTGGAGAAAATTCCCTTCAATGACAAAAGTTTAAATAAACGAGATGAAAAAATAATAACACAAAAACCAATCATAAAATATTAAAGTAACTGGTATACATGTATTCAGCTATTTCTTTACACCAGTGTTCATTCTGTTTAGTAGTGTTGTTAATTAGCAAAACATCTTCGTTTATAAATACATCAATGCTTTACGCTCCTTCTAATCTGTAATTATTGCACACAATTTTTTTTTATACTTTGTTTTACCAGTGGTGAGAGAAACATATAATTATCGGTAAAAAGGTAGATAAAAAATTAGTTTATAAGGTAGGTGAGAATGTAACGTTTTTTGTATAAATTTAAGTAAACAGGTGTGTAAAATAATATGTAAAAAACTTATTTAAAAGGTAGGGTAAAAATATCGATACAAAATAAAAAGGTAAAATGTATCTGAAAAGGTAGTGAAAAAGTTAGGTAAAAAAGGTAAATGAAAAGGAAGATAAAATGTAGATAGGCCCGAAGGTAGGGAAAATCGTAATAAGGTATTTAAAATGAAGGGTATTTCAATAGGTAGGTAAAAAGGTAATATATGGAAAAATAGGTCACAAAGTTGTGAAAAAGTTTCTTTCCTTTTGGAATGGAACATCCCCATCAAATCTTGTAGGAATAAAATCAATCTTCTTCTTCTTCGTTCTTAATTTTTAGTGTTGGAAGGGATCGAGCCTTATCTGCCAGAGGGTTTGAACTCGAGACATTTTTTTCGAATTTATCAACCAAGAGCTACTCGACCATGCCTCCATCACAATTGAGGATACGTGTCAACTAGTTATGCGCAATTGAAGCCATACACTCCATTTTCAGCCTGCTTTTCTTTTTGGATTTGCTTCCATAGCCTTTGTCCAACCAAGAACAAACTACAAGGCAGCAGTTGTTTGATTTTGGAGTTGTCTCTACTAGAAGAGTGGCTGTCCCCAGCTAACGAGCCTCATCTGCCCGAGGGTTCGAACTCGAGACTTTTCAGTTTAGCAACCATGAGTTTTACCGACTCGACCACGCCGACCCCTATAAGATGAATAAAATAGGTCGTACGACACCACCAGAAAAGTCACAATACTGTGAAGACAGTTTCATCGGTGAGAATACTTTTAGAATGGATTTAACATAAACAACAGTGTGTTAACTTTACCAAAACAAACTAAGACTGTTTACTATTATTCATTAACAAATAATTCTTTTATTTTTTTTCTCTCTTTGTTTTGTGTACCTCAGACAAGTTCGCTTTAGTATTACAGTTTTCATCATCGTTGGCTTGTGAAGACTAGTATAGATTTTCAATTGACATGTACTTTCACTTATTAAAATGGTTTACTTATGCACAATTCAAATCTTCCAATTACAGCACGGGTTCCCAACCTGGGGGTCGCGACCCCCCTGGGGGTCGCGAAGGTCTTTCTGGGGGGTCGCCAACTGGTATACTAAACCTTAGTAATTGAAACAAAACATAAATATTTAGAAGAATTTTTGAAATTCGGCTTCATTAACACCACTGGAAATGTAATAGAGAAGAAACAAAGCGTACTGTACAAAGCTGTTCTCAGTCACGAATCTATGAAATCTTCAAAACTAAAACGTCATTTGAGAAACGTCATTCGGAACACACCAAAAAATATATGGAGTTCTTTCGTCGGTAAGAAGCTAGTTGCAAACGCCAGAGACTTGATCGAACAGGAAGTTTTCACCAGCATTAGTGCAAGCATCAAATGAAGTCGCGATAGAAAATGCCAAGCAAGAAAAAAAAAACAATAGGAGAAAATCTCATCAAACGCTGCATGTACGTAAATGTTAAATAACACATTTTTATTGAAATTAAGCTTTCACCATTGTTTGCTTTTCAAGTTGATAAATCAACAGACGTGAGTTCGTATTCGCAGTTGCTGGTCTGTGTCTATATTCATGCGGATGATAGCAAAGAAGAGTTGCTCTTTTATGAAGATAGCATGGAGAAAATAAATACCTCTTTTGAAACTGGATGATTAAAATGGGTTAGAACGGCTGTGGGGGTTTGTACGGATGGTGCGCCATCTATGTTTAGCTCACAATCGGGCTTTCAGAAAACAGAAAAGATTTAGCTCCCTAACCACTGGACATAAGAGTCCATTGCTAGTATAAGTCGTAAATTATATAAAATCTGGAGCCTTCAAAGAACTGAGCAAAAACATTAATATAGAATACGAGGTTCTGCTCTTCTACACTACAGTACGCTGGCTGTCAAACGAAATGTTGTAAATTATGTTTTTGAATTGAAATCTGAAATCAAATTGTTCTTGGAAATGCAAAGGAAACAAGACCTTTTGGTATACTTAAAACGACATAGAGTGGTTGGAGAGAGTATCATACCTAGCAGATGTGTTCGAACATCAAGATAAGCTTAACCTGAAGCTTCAGGGAAAATGAGCGAATATTATAACTTACCATGATAATCTCGGGGCATTTTTATCAAAGCTGCAAAATCGGTAAAGAAGATACATCTAGGAAATATTGTAAATTTGAGAAACTCTGCGGTGTGGTAGATGAATCTGATTGTGAGATAATTAAAATTTTGAAAGAAGCGATTTCTGGGCATCTTGAATCTCTTGAAAACGAACTGCATCGCTATTTCTCTGAGCTGAAAAAAGAAGAATCTGCATTGACGCATTACCCTGTCTCTTCTTCCCCTGATGTTGCCAGCATTCCCGATGAATTACAAAATGAATTCTTTGATTTGCAGAATGATTCCGAGTAAGATGAAAAACTGCAGACACAATTTTGGTGTAGTATTCACCATTCATACCCAAACGTAAAATTGATTGACTTTTCGAGAATATATTTTCAACACTATTCTTCGATTAAAAACAAAATTAAGATAATTATAATGACATAGGTTGGCGTTAACAAAAATTTGTTTTAATTAAAAACTTAACCACGAAGGTTTAGTGAATAGTATGCAATTTTACTCATGCTATTAAAACAGTTATCAAGAGTAGTTCAAATTGAAAGTCTACTAGAAAATCTTATTTTAGTGCTTATTAATTTCCATACTAATTTCGGCTTTTAATTCTATGGGGGTCGCGGGTCACTTACTTTTTATAAAAGGGGGTCGCCACTCGAAAAAGGTTGGGAACCACTGAATTACAGTGTGTAATTAGACGGTGATAAAGAAATTATTGTTTTATTTGTTTAAAATTGCAATATTTTTTTAAAATAACACACAAAAGAGCAACGATGTAACGACGATTAAATAAACAATACATTAATAAAAGTAAAATATTGATATCAATATTTAAAGTGTACCTGATTTAATTTATTATTTGCAAACTTTGTGTTTTTTAAAAATATATATTACGTTTGTCATGATTGTGTTAAAAAATTAGATTCAGAAATTTAAAACATTTAAATTAGGGGTGATAAATTAAAACAACTGCTCTGTCTACACTTTAATTGATTTTATGAGAAGTGTTCAGAATTTGTTTCCCTTACATCAAAAACCATGCTTGCAAACACCTATACAAGGGAATTAATCAATAGTTTTTATTTCCACCCGATACTAATTAAATTGTTTAAACGAGAGACTGCCAACTGAATGCTACCCTTAATGTTAAAATGCATCAATTAATTTAAATATTTTATAACTGTATCGGTTACAACTTACTATCTTATATAAATAAAACATTACTCCTTTTTTTTTTATAAATTTCAATGTTTCGTGAATACGGAATCGCCTAAAGTTTAGAGTAATAGAGCAAAACAAGGGTTATTATTAAATAGAAAAACAACATTATTATTATTATTTTAATACAAAAGCAGTAATATGTGATTACCCTAAATGCATTTGAACGCTGTATGTTCAGAGAAACAATATTTTTGAGCAGGATATGTACAATGTTTTAATTGTTTAATAGTTGTGTAAAAATATGTATTTCCGCATTTCTATTTTTCTAAAATAATTGTAGCCTACACACATATATTTAGAATGTATACTAATTTGATATATAAATAGTGTATTTTATGTGATTTATTCTATTATGTGTAATGTAGGTATTTTTGTTCAAGCAATAATTAATACAAAATGATTTGGTCATGAAAAATATTTCGGACCCCAGTGGTTTATATATATATATATATATATATATATATATATATATATATATATATATATATATATATATATATATATATATAAATATATATATATATATGTATATATGTATATATATATATATATATATATATATATATATATATATATATATATATATATATATATATATATTTATATATGTTTATATATATATGTTTATATATATATATATATATATATATATATATATATATATATATATATATATATATATATATATATAGCCTATAAT